ATTAAGGGAAGTAAAACATATTTACTAAGTATTAAATAAAAAATAAGCGAAGTGATAGAAGACTTTAAAAGGATATTAAGTATTTACTAAGAACTGGAAGAAGTATTAAGAAAACTAAGTTAATGTGAAAGAGTATTATAGAGTATTGAAAACTAGGGATTAGGGCTGTTTAAAGAAGCGTCGAGTCCCTAAGGGCCTGCAGTCTCTGAACTTTCGACGCTGCGAAAGAAGCGTTTGGAAGTGTTTGGGATATTGAGAAAAGGGTGGCCCGTATTGCTGAAAAGAGAAACTATGTGGCTCCATATACATAGCTGAGAATCAAAGAACCAGAGTGTGATATAGATTACATGAGGGGCCGGACACTATAAATAGCTTCCCATCAGGGATTAGTGCGAGGTGGTTTGAAATCGGGGTGAATGACTGTCTTTGATATGGCCAAGACGACAAAGACATCGCGCCCCGTCAAATGTGTAAAGTTGATCTCAACTTGGCGAAGGCGAAGCTGCATAGAAGCTGCACCAAGGGTGGTCTCGATTGATGGGCCGTTGGCCGTGACTCGAAACAGCTGCTCGTGTTCGTGCACTGGCTGAACATTGCTCAGCCCCTAAGCCTCGACCAATCGGACAATTAAGTAGCCATCTTGGCACTCTTCTCAACTCGCCCTCACCAGACTCTTCTTCCAGCTGCTGACGTTGCAAACAGAAACTTTGCCACCATGATTGCTCGTCAAGAGACAACTTCAGCCCTACTACCACCCGCCGCAGCAACCCTCCAGATTTCGGCGAAAACTAGTTCCACGTGTGACCATCTCGAATGCTACCAGAAGGTAAGTGTGCTCCTATCAGAGACCTCCGCTACGCGTTGCTGACCGTGATCGCGCTAGTGGAAGAGCAACTGGCCGGACTACACAGGATTCCAATATGCGCAGTGCTCTAGCTTTATCGAAGGAGTATGTATGCCTCTTCGCAATTCCTGTATCCTCTGTTCTGACGCCTCGAAGACTAGTAGATGCTACTGCTGGTATGGGTATACCTACTAACCGACGGCGGAATGCAAAAGTGATCAAATCGAGGGAGGGGAAACTGCATGAGAGAACTCCATTCTGCGACTGTTATTACCGACCGTTGGCCAACATCCAAGAATTATCAGTAGTTACTTTCAAATGCATATGGGCTATGTAATTCACCTTGAAGCCTCCAATTAACCGCGTAAGTTTTCGGCTCAAAAATCCTACTACTAATGCATCGAAGGGAAGGACGACATTGTTTCCCTTTTCTAAGAATAGGGCCATTATTTGGTAGTAAGTAACCGAAGGGAGTCGGTTGTGAACCAATTGATCGTCCAAGACAACAAGGCTGAAGGCTGACACATAGCGTAAGGATGTTGGGTCGTGAATACTTTAGCACGCAGGCTAGGCATCCCACTCTCGAGTCCTCAGCCATCCCTGCTTCTATGATTCGTAGAAAGTATCATACACTTGGGCATCACGCATCTTCTCTACTCCTGCTCCTCCTCCACACGTCCTGACACATACTGACTTCCTTCCTCTCAGAGGCGAGAATCGTCCACTTCCGATAACATACCTCCAAGGGAGCTAGTCACAACGTTCGGAAGTAACCCGCTCTTCTGCAGACATACACAGCACAGCCTCAAAGGACTTTCTCGTCTCCAGAGCAGTGCAAACGGACTTTTAAAACAGGAGCTACTCGTGCTCGCTTCTAAACACGTTCTCTTCGCTGAAAACTTGCTTGAGAAGGCCAGTGAATACTCAACTAATTTGCATCGAGGATCGATTAGGAGAGCAAATAGTGAAAGAGATAGCCGAATAAACTCGGCTAACTGAACTCACCCCCTTCTACTTGCTTCCGAGGACCTCGCTTCGACAAGGTAGTGAAAACAGAACCCGTCATGAACGTCCAAGAATAGAGGAATGTAACGTACTGAAAAGGAGGTCTTTCGTGAGCCAATCAAGTGCCCAAGACACCAGGGCTGGGGGCTGAAGCACACCATATCGATGGTTGGCCGCGAATACAGTAATACTCCAGCTGCCAAGACGGATATATTACCCCCCGAGTTCGTATACGAGATGCTCAGTATACGCCTTCACAAAAGGATGTGCCCATAAGACGAGCGGCCCCGAAAATGCTTTTTGTTCCATCCCTCAATGTATAAGTAGGCCACATCGAAACTCTGCCCTTCTCATATTGGGAACAATTCAATCAACCTCTTCCACTCACCATGAAGTATCCAACCCTCCTCTCTTTGGTCGTTGCCCTCGCCATCGTCCGGGTCTATGCCTTGCCCTTATCTGTTATCGATGTCTATAAGGCCTGTCTTTCTTATAGTCATTCGAACCAGTGAGCCTCGATTACCTACGACCCTATCGCACTGGCATCCTTCACTATTGTTGACCCCAGGACAATCCTTCCAGAACTCACTCTTCCTACTCGCCCGTATACGCTCCCAATAATTCCTCAATTTACACGAACCCACCATATCATCGATGTTTTCGCGCCTTACACGAACACCGGCGACCCCGTTCAACCTTTCCTTCGCGCTCGCGAGACAGCTCAAAGCAGCCCAGGCAATGCCCTCGACATCGCCGGTGGTGTTTTCGATTATGATTATCCGCCAATCAATGTCGCCCGAGACATCGAAAAGGCCGCTCGCGAGGAAAACAAAGCAACCATCGACAACCACCCCCGCCAAGTCACCGACCCGGTCCTAGTAGTCACACTTGCTCATGCCACAAGGACAACCACACTTCCTCAAACCACGAAGGCAATAACAACGATCAGGGGAGACCCCGGTCCAACCTTCTCACTCCCTTATACCACCATGCCACCCCCAGACATCAACGGCGACCCAATCGATACTCTCAATATTCCTCCCCGGAACGCAGCTGCCCCCGGAAATTCACTTGACGTTGTCGGCGGCGTATTCGACTATCGCGCTGGCATCCTGGCTCGAGACCCCTGGCACCACAGTGACCCCGTTCAAGGTCACGGTGACTGTTCCGATGATTTGAGCCAAGTTGAGAAGAGAGACGCCGATGCCAGTGGTACCAGTGTGAACAATGGATTGAGCGAGGAGACTGACGAGGAGGCAGTGGACCACCAGGCGGTCTTCAAGAAGAGATCCGCGAGAAACGGCGGGAATGTGGTTGGGAATGGCTTCCTCTTAGAACCCAAGGATGAGAGAGAGGTTGTTGGGGTGGCTTCTAAGGGCATGTGGGGCAATGATTCGGGCAGGAAGAGAGAGCTTGGTACTATTGGCGGTGGCGGTGGCGGTGGTTCTGAACCAGGTCCCCTTGGAAGTGGGGCTGAGAGTAAGGTCGTGAAGAGAGACAGGGCAGATCATTCTGGCCCAGTCACCTCCAAAGCCGAGTTGGAGAAGAAAAGCGGTGACGCGATCTTTAAGAAGAGAGAGGCTGGGATCATAGGGGTCGGCGGTTCCACTGCCCGGCCAGCTCCCGCTTCAGAACGCAATGGTAAGCGAGGTTTCGAGATTAGTAACGGAGTCATGTCAGAGGTTGAGGAGGAAAGTAAGGGCAGCCAGCCAATTTTCAAGAGAGATCCGGGAGTTGACACGGGTGGCTTAGTTCCCCCAGCTCTTGAGGAACACGTCACCAGCGACCCGATCTTTCGTCGCGATCCATCTACCATTGCAAAGACCAACGACAAACGCGACATTGACATTGAGGAGAGAGAGCCCAGACTCTGCTGGGGATGTTATTGGAACTCGGTCAAGGGCGCTGTTGAAAGTAGGGGTGGCATATTGCCTGAGCACAGCGGCTAGAAGGAGGCGGGCACTGTTGCAGGTACTGTCGGTGTTCCACCAGGTGCTGATGGCACTGCCCCACAGGTGGAAGAGTGGGTTTCAGAGGCTGGTCCTCTAGTCTCACGCTGGCTATAGCGTTCATATCGTTCCTCGTTGCTCGGAATGGGAGGATACTGCTCCAATTCTGTGGCGGCACAGCCTTCATCTCGTCGCATGTGCTATGTTCCCGTCTTGTTGTAGCACTGGTGCCATAGCGTCGCTTACAACGATCTTCGACATTCAGCTGATCGACTGCATCGGAACTTCGTTCTGGTTCGGTGCCTGCCTGCCCTCCCTCCCTGTACTGCGACAACACCATCAAGCTATGACTCGAGGCCTGGTGAGGACGACGAGGAGAAAGAGGAGCGGAGAGAAATGCGTGGAGGTCAAAAGTGGTAGAAAAAGAGTCCACATAAGATCAAGGACGATTCTCAGAGCGTAGATTTGGAGGGAAAGGGGAGGCAGATATAGAATCTAGCGTAGCAGGCGGGATCGAGAGGGACATATCGGCGCATCCAGTTGTCCAGGAATCGCGAGAGAGCGCTTGCTAGCTGCAGTTAGTGAAATAACGGTCAGATTTCGAACCTCGGCGGCTTGTAGGACGCGAAAAGAATACGTCATGCTTAAACGTTAAGGGGATGGCTGAGTCTAGACTTGGTGGGGTGAGGGGTAAGCGTGAATACGTCACCAATGAGCTTTGAAAACGATCGAAGGAGACGGCTGAGTAATGCAACAGCCTTGGCCGAACTTGGGTAAATTGCTGCTCGGCATCTTTAGCCGGCCCACAGGGAGCCCGAATTGGGCCCCGAGGTGCCGGAAACTAGCTCCTCTTGTGGAGACACTGGACGATTGAAGGCGGGAATAGTCTTTTCTCTCTCACTGCATTCGAATCAGTGTAATACCCCAGTCCGTAGAAGGGTGACTCCTCCTTCACCAAAACTGTGGCTGGGGGAGCTGAGCCACACATCGCATAGCCACTTACGTGACTGGGAAGGTCTATGATCAACTAGTCAATCGCAAGTCAAAGCCAGAATATTGAAGGAAGTGACGATAGCAATAGATCACAACTCAACAGTGTATGAAGCGGGGTTACAGGGCATCCGGCTGGCGCTGGAGATGTCAGAGCGGCTGGCGCAAGAGGCGCGACCGCACGACAAATTCATGATTCCAGCTCCATGTTCAGTACCCTCTTATTCTCAAAATAGGGTCCACACCACCAGGCAACACGGAGAAATCGACTCCTGCCAAAAAGTGATCCCGGTCAGAAAGTGGAGCATAGCTGTGGGGGCTGGCAGTGCCCATCGCCAACCCTGCGGCCAACAATCCAGCGCTGCTAGCCTTCATCCGGAGCCATTTCTGGGAGCAGAGTCCATTTTTGGCCGCGAAAGCCTACTGCACGCGTCCACGTCGCCGCGGCTGGAAATATCTTTTGAAGACACGGGTCTTTGAAGATAGCCAAGTATAGAGGTGATGGTAGGAAGCCCGCAGAAGCGCGGGTTGTTGGCGGTGAAGCCGCACGGCGCGATCGCGTCGTCTTCACCACCCGCCGTGCTGCTTACTGCCTCCACTTAAGCAGCACATCCTTACCACCTAGTGAGGCCCTTTTAAGGGAAACTAGAATACAAGAACCACCCAACATACGGCTACCTAGCCCGCAGCCAGGCCTAAAGCTAGTCTTATCAACCGGTAGATATAGCGCGTCCCAGACGTACGATAGGGTACCCTTAGGCTTACACCAGCTCTAAGATCGCGAGGAAGGCGGCGAGAGCATAGAGGAACCTCTTTCTTAAGAACTTATTAAGGCTAACACGCTGTAGATCCTTCGTATGAAACTTGTTAAGGCCCTGCCTAGAGAACTTATTAAGGCCTCTCCGAGAGGGCCTACCCGGTACACACCCAGGAGACTCAGTGGAGAGCCTTAATAGACGTGGTACGCACAACCTACAATAAGGACACAGGCCAGTAGTGGAGGAAGGCTCTAAAGAAATTACAGTCCAGTTATATAAAGACTCAACATGTTAGAAACATAGACTAGCTTAAGATAAGGAGGGAACACAAGATTAGTTAGTAGAAGCAGGTGGAGTAGGTTACCTAGTGTGGGATTTATCTCTAAGGACTCGCTCCTACAAGATAGGGTTGGTTAGGCTTTCTATCCATATTCCATATTCTATACAGGCCTCTATAGATTATGGATTATGGAGCATGCCTCGTATGGAAGCTTATTCTATACGTATGGAATACGGTAAATGACGTTATACGCTATAACTCTCATCTTCTAAAGGATCTAGTATCGAGGCTCGCCATACAGCCGTTCTGCCCGCGTTCTCCTATCTCTCCTCTACCAGCTTAATAGGAATGCCCTAGGTGATACTAGTTTTAATCCAGCTCTTTATACACTCTCCCCTCTTAATTATACGACTTCTAAGCTAGCATCTATCCTAGGATATTATATAGCGTGCACCTAAAAAGACGCGCTTAGATTCAGCGGACATAGCGGGTATTAAAAGAATATCTATAGCTATTCTTAAAAGGCGCGGATATTGTTATTGCTACTCCTCTTAGAGCTACTAAGCGAGCGCCAAATAGTCAATAGCAATAGGCGTTTGAGCGGTGAAGGATTTATATTCGTCGAGTTCGTTTATTATATGTCTAACGATATTAAGCTCTTGTGTGAGTAGATTGTACTTATCTGGCGGCTGTAACTTATTAATTAGTCTAGGCGTCGTGGCGGCAATCGGTAGCCCTTAGTAGTGATCCTCCTAATACATCTTTACGGCATCAAAAACTGCCTTATGCCATGCTTTTAGCCAGTTCTTCTTGATGTGGGCAGTACGCCGCGATGGATGGAGGATTATTACCGCACTATAAGTAGAGCTCTTGTCTGTGAGCTGATAGTACTTATTAAAGATAGCCTAAGAGGTGGCGATGCAGCTGCGGAGTAGGTGGTTGTCTCTATACTTATTAAAGGCTTGAGTATAGTGCTTATAAAGGATATCTATAGTAAAAAGCGTTCGATCGAGTGTGGCGTAGCGGCCCTCTATAAGTTGGGTTATCCTCCAAAACGGCTGAAGGAAAGAGCGCGTCTCTCTTAATATCCGCTAGTTCTTAGGCGTTAGATAATTCTCTTATAAGCTCTCGTATTACCTTTTCTGGTACCATTCAACATGCTCCTAAAGATTAAGTACAACGTCCAAAAGAACAAACTATAAGTTCCAGCGCGTGTTATTGTCAAGCGCTAGTGCTCTACCAGCATGCTTCTTTAATAGGTTCCACCTGTAGTCATTTTCTCACATATGGATCACGGTATTATAGACTTTGCCAAGAGGACCTAAACGTCGCCAGCCAAGCGCCTTTTATGCCTTAAACCCGTCAATAAAGTTAGTACCGAACGCGGCCTCGTCGTCCTCTTCGATCTGCTTAAGGGCCGCTTATACGGCTTCCTTGGAATCTATAAAAAGGAAGGCTTGTACAACGAGGTTAATGATATGGCCGTGGCACCGGATCCGCTGCTTCTTCGCGTTCTAAATAATGCCTTTTCCGTTTAAATATTCGCTAAGCAAGCGGCAGAGTTTGTCGTTAGAACCATGATTGTCACTAGTGTAGAAACCAATCTTGTGCCAAATATTGTAATCTTGGAGGACGTGATGAAGAAGCTTCTATTGCTCGGCTCCACCATAGCTGCTAGGGCCATCAAGTCCTGGCAGCTCTGAAAGAGCCAGTAACGCCTATAACGTCTCTTTGGAGTCGGGGTCAACAAATTTGACACAGGTTCCGAGGAAGGCTTTATGATTAGGAGCGGACTAGACATCGGTAGATAGGTGAAGCTTCGAGGGCGACGATTAGAGCTTTCTTCGCAGGATATCTTTGTGGGCGCAGTATAAGTTTAAGACGAGCTTTTGTATCAAGCTGTGCGATAGACCAATTACGTCCTTAGTAGTGTAGTTAACCGCGGAAATAAGCGCGTGTAGCTCTAGCCAAGAGCTATAATTATAAGAAAGATTGCGGATAGTTATAAGCTGGACGAGAGCCTCTAAAGCAGCTTTCTAATTGACTACTACCCTAAGAATCTCTTCTTTCTCTACTAATTGCTTTATAATATTAACCTCACTAGCTTTAGCGAAGGCGTCCTTTATGAGATTATCGCGCTATTTCTTAATCGGATGTTTATTCGCTTCTAATTTAATCCCGTGGACTTTAAGTAGGTGATAGCGGAAAGTTGTCGATATAGTAGTGGAATACATCGGATTTATACAGTGCTTATAGTAATAGATTTTCTCGTTCTTTCGAGCGTAGTGGGCAGGCTCTGAGTCTTGCGGCTCGCGTGCGTGGTCCTAGGTGTTTGCGGTTGCCTTGCGCTTTCGAGTGTTTCGGCTTGTGGAGGATGGGTTTTAGAGGGTGGACGTGGCGGAGGAGCCGAGTTTAATAGTTAATAATAGGGGCAATTCACGGTTGCTAGACACGTTAGAAGCTCCAAAGGACTACCTAAAGGCTATCGCGAAATAATAATTAAGATATAATGCGTCGAGTGCTGCTAATCCCGCTAGTTGAGTTTATGTTCTTATATTCCCTAAAGCTACCCCTACAATACGCGTTCGTGCCGGAACAACATTATTCTAGAGTATTTCTATACTTATAGAATAGAGCAATCTCGTATAGATATAGAATATAGAATATAGAAAGTTCTATATGGATTAACTTATTCTATACGTTTATGGATAGAAAGCCTAATTCTGTAATACTCTTTTACGTTAACTTAGTTTTCTTAATACTTCTTCTAGTTCTTAGTAAATACTTAATATCCTTTTAAAGTCTTCTATCACTTCGCTTATTTTTTATTTAATACTTAGTAAATATGTTTTACTTCCCTTAAT